GTTCAGTATCTCCGCAATCTCTGGCAACGGTTCCAAGTGGACACCAGATGCCTTGACGGGTAAACCTGTCTCGCCATCGAAGATGTGATAGCACTCTTCCACCGGCCTTGTCGGAGGAGCCCGGGCCCTGGACTCCGAGTCGCTTGAAGCGACGTCGATCGGAACGAAGTTCGGATCCGACTTGAGGCGGCGGCGGTGTCTTCGCCGACGGCGTCTGTGACGGGGAGCTTTGCTGCCCACGTCTAGGGATGTCGTCGCTACGACATCCGAGGCACTCGTGGCCTCGTGTGATACTGTTGTACCCACACAGGAAGCGTGTTCAACGCCTTCCTCTTCAGTTAAGGTCTGGGCGTTCGTGAGTGGAACTCTGTTACCCACTCTGGACACGCTGTTCTCAGTGTTCATGACAGCTGCAGCTGTCTGCGGAACTAAGCTACCCGCCTGTGGACCTAAGTTACCCACTTGACGAGCGCCTCTTCTGGGCGCGGCCGCCATCAAAACATCCTCGGAGTCGTCATATACGTCGACGACTCCCAAGCATCTGCCGGATGCTTTGGTACCCTGGCAGCCCTTGCGGGCGCCCCGGGTCCTGACAGAGGTGGGAACATGACTCACCAATGCTCTGTCGGACTGCGCAGGTCGGCTGGCACCGATTGCCTTGCCTCGCCAGTCGATCCAGGGCTCGTGCTTCTCAAGCCAGGGCATGCCCAGGATCATATCATATGGATCCATATCGAGAACAGTGAACTATTCGAGGCTGTCAAAGTCTTCAAACTTGACAGCCAGATCCACTTGGACGTTGGGGACAGTGACGACCTTCCCGTCGGCCAGTCGCACTGACACCGTCCCGTTGCCCTTGCTTTCTCTCAAAGCTTCGGACAACTTGTTGCTGTTACGAGCAACCGTCTGGCGGCGTGCGAAATTCTTCGACGCCCCAGAGTCAATCAAGATTCTAAAGGGATGATCGTATCCCCGTACACATCCGTGTACTACGAGCAACCCGCCGCTGCTCTTTGCCGATTCGAGAGTGCGAAGACTCTCAGGGGCTAAGTCCCCGTGGTACGCGCCACCCGCGCACCCATCACGAAAACTTAGTTCTTCCCCAGTAGGGGCGGGGCGCTCTTACTGGTTCCCTGCGTTCACCTGTCCCCGGGATCCTCGCTTCTGCCAGCGACCCTTGAGGACGGGCTTGGGGAAGGACCGTCTGCGGAGTCTTTCCGCGGGACAGTCGCGCTTGAAGTGGCCCATCTTCCCACAGCCGAAGCAGCGGATGTCACGCTGTTCGGCGGACCCGAGTTCAATGGGAACTGGTCCGTTGGGGCTTGTTCGACCGGGAGCCGACAAGGAACTCCCAGGCCACGCTGAGGCCGGCGTACGCGCCTGGCGATGACTGTACTCTTCTTGAAGAGCCACTTGAATCGCCTCTTCAAGGGTGCTTGCCTGCACCCGGAACAGCTGAGTGCGTGCGAGCCCACTCGAAGGCCGTCCATGAACACAGTCATCTTGATGGGTTCATTGAGTGGGTTTCCCACTAGGGACGCCGTGAGCTCCCGTATCTCTTGCACATACTCGTGCAGTTCGCGCCTTCCTTGTTTACACGCGAGGAAGCGCGAACGCTGGCGGTACTCGTAGTTCGCCGGGAGGAACGCGGCTCGGAGCTGTTCGCACAGCTGAGCCCAGGATATGAAACATCCAGGGGATATTGCTTCCCGAGTGTACACCCAACTCTTAGCACGACTGCTAAGGTTGGAGAGTGCAAACGCAACACGCAGTTGCTCGGTCGAGATCAGAGCCGCGTCCATCGCGAGCTCTACTTCTCGGACCCAGAAGTGATGGTTCTCGCCTTCCTTCCCTTCGTACGGCTTTACCTTCAGCCGTATTGGCTTCGGGTGAGGCGGATTTGCTTCCGCCGCCGGAGCCTGCAGGTTCTCCCGCACATGCGCGATGAGGCCCTGCTCGTACGCGTCGAATGCATTGACGCGCTCGAGCTGCTCAGCCGGTGTTGACACCACCAGGCTCTGCAGGGCCTCCATCCCGAAGATGCCTGCCATTTTCCGAACCGACTCGAACTGAGAGTCGTTCAAATGGGAGAAGTCGTTCCTATCCAGGGCAACGACCTTCGGAGGTTCAGGTAGTCTACCCGCGATGGCGTGGATTGACTACTAGTGCTACCAAGTGTGACAGGGTCACACAGCACCTTGCGCAAGAGGAGGTTATCTTCCGAGAGTATACAAACTCTCAGTGAACGGCAGTTCACAGGTCCCCTCTTTTATTAAAGAGAGCGAAGTGACCCAAATAGATAGATTGTAAACTGAGTATATTTATAGGTAGATTAAGTTTGGGTTTAATACAAACTGTTAGTTACCGATAGAAATGCAATGTCATTTAACCAATGGTTGGCTTTGAACGACCTTGGTACCTTGTACCAAATTTCTCGGAGTATGACGTGTCATACTCCTGAAGTGTGAAGTGTCACACTTCATGTATCCAGGGTACACTTAGGGCTACGTACCCCGTTACATCTGCCGTGTAGTCTCTTGAGTAGCTCCGCCAGGACGAGAGTGCATGTAGGAAAAGACGCAAGGTACGTACCTCTCATCACGGATCAATGCGTCCTCTTGAATAGATTTGGCAGCAACACGCAGTGTAGAGATCATACACACCACGCGCGACTGACTCCGAAATGGGTCATCACTAGCGCCGCCAACTTCTCGAAAAACAGGGGTGTATATACGTGTTCTAGCTTCAGCTAGTAAGGCGTCTATCGTTGTAGTCTCCAACTGAAGAGACACAATGGCGTAGCCAGATGAAGGAAAGCTTGGACGCATGCTGCCTCAGTAGTTCGAGTTTCTCTGATGGCTATTTGTATAATGAAGCCACTTTTCGTCGGAACAGGCTTTCAATTTCTAAGCGTCGGCGACGGATAGTACTATTTTTGGGCACACTCATTTATTTTTTGCAAGGGCCCTCTTTTGGTTGGCTCGTGTCGACGCTATTTCAAAACTGCCGTTCTTCAGCCTTCGACCCGGCCTTGGAGACGCGGTTGATGAAGAAGCAGAGTTCCGGTCCAGGTTGTGTACAGTACGCCGACTTCAGTAAGATCATCGTGTGTACAAGCGAAACCAATTCTCCAATAAAAAGTAGCGAGTGGCATCGGCATTATCTGGAAAGTATCAGTAGCCAAATTCAAAGAATTTAGCAAGCACTAAAGGTTTATAGCAAGGTCAGCACAGTGAAGATGCGGTTTGTCTTCGCAGATAATCGCTACCCGTTTGCTACCAAAGTGGTGAACCAAGAATACTAGCTTTCATAAAAAATAGTTAGCACTACAGTACATGTACAGTAAACAAACATGGGTGTCTCAAGTGTTACTATCGACATTTCGTCCATTGCTTTTCATACCCTTCCGTGCATCTACCAGTCAAATGATGCATTGCCTTGAGGTGAAAAGGCAGGTTTCATTGCTTTCGCGAATGCCTGCTTCCGTGACCCACACTCGGAGGCCTCGTAGATCTCGAGTGCGATGTTCAGTTGCTCACTGCACATACAGAAAAAGAGTGAGACCGACATCGAAGTATTTGTCCTCTGACAAGTTGCAATTGCACGGACCGTAGCGCCTGCACCCGCTCAGCACTGGGTGGGTGGGTCGAAAAGTACTTGAGCTGAGATCCCTTGTCTAGCTGACCCAACGATGTGTTCATCTGAATACTGGCACGAGGGTCGTAACATGCTTGTGCCATAAGCCTCAGACCAATCGAGTCCGCCTCCAGTTCCAGCTTGCGAGAGAACGGTAGATCCACTGCGAGTTTCACCATCTAAGCAGCAACATCTATCAGTACTTTAAATATTCCATACCTTCCAATCAATGTAGTGGCTACCAGATCGCTGATCTGTCCATAGTCTGGCAATATGAGCGCCAGAAGTCCATACACTAGCAAGCTAAACGAGATTTTTTCAGCGCCATGTCCTAACTCAACCACAACAGTTAGCTGTCAATATTATCAACAAGAATTACAAAAGAAACTCACGAGCCAAGCCATGTGCAGCTTCGTGGAACATGACTGCAGCCAACGCGTCCTCGTTTCGCAGCACCTTGAACAATCCCGAGTGTACAAACACTTTGCCTCCAGGCAAGCAGAAGGCGTTGGGCTCTTTCGCCTCGATCACATGGAACGTCCACTTCATGAACGGCGCATTTGTTTCTTGCGCGATCTTGCGCCCAACTCGCGTCACGGCCCGCGACATCTTCATGTACAAGTGAGTATGGTATTCTTAAAGTATCGGACATTTAATGCTGCGTGAATATACCGGATGTGACGGTGAAAGAAGCTGGGAACTGCTTAGAATCTCTCGATAGGCCTGCTCACCCAGTCGTTCCTCGTGCTCCGGGGACAGGAACATGATGCGGCGGCGGTTGGTGAGCGGCATTGTCTCGACATGATTCACGACGTACACTACGCACCAGCTATGACGCTTTAAAAGGCTACCAGCGACAAGTGAATCGGCTCTCAACACGTACGTCCACCAATAGTTGCGGAGCCGACCACCACCGCCTTTAAATACGGCGGCATGCGCTGCCAGTCCTCTCGCCAGTACCGGACTCGGCTCATTCTTCGCTTATTTCATGTGCTCGTTGTGTCAATTTGATTTCTCAAAGATCATTGGATAAAATTTAAGAGCATACTTTGAGCCGCAAGAGATTAGCAATGTGGCAGCGCTTCCTCCTCACGAGGCGACCCGCGGCGCTGCGCCCTTCGTTTTCTCGCCTGCTAGCGACCGACAGCAGCCGTCGTATTCTGTGTGTGGACGTTCCAGAACACGTTGCTGAGACCTCGTGCGTCCAGGAGCTCGTACAGCGCGGTCACGTCGTGGACCAAGTGCGCGCCGCCTCGGATGAGTATCTGACTTCAGTGGTGAAGGACTACGACGCACTGCTGGCAGCTCCCGGTACTAAACTGCCGCGTGATATCTTACGCATTGGAGCCAAGCACAAACTGCAGTTAGTGGCTGTGCCCGCTGCCACCATCCCCAGCGAGGACATCGACCTCATGGAGGCCACTAATCAGGGCGTGATGCTACTCCAACTCGAGTCCAAGCAGGTGGGCGACCGCTCGTCCGTAGAGGCAGAGATCGGTCTCAGTCTGCTCATCCAATTAGCACGGCATCTGCCTCGCAGTATGGCTTGTATGCGCTCGGGCGAGGCGTTCGACCGCCAGGAATTCGCTGGTACCGAGCTGGCCGGGAAGAGCCTCGGCGTCGTGGGCATTGGACAAGCTGGACGACGTGTAGTAGATATGGCGCATGCGCTTGGACTACAAGTCTTTGGCTTTGACCCTAACTTGAACCAGGAAGCAGCCGAGCTCATGGGAGTTAAGTGCGTGTCCATGGACGAGCTGTACGCAGCTTGTGACTTCATCACTTTCCACGCTCCGCTGACAGCCCGTACACGCGGTATGTTTGGAGACGAGGCCTTGGAGAAGTGCAAGCCTGGCGTCAAGATCGTGTCAGTCGCGGAGTACAAGGGCAGCCACGGTCTGCTGGACGAGAACACGTTGCTGCGTGGTCTGGAGTCGGGCAAGATCAGCGGCGTGGCGCTGGATCTACTCCAATCAGCAGACGGACTGGACATGTCGCCTACGTGGCAAGAGCTGATGAACCACGAGAATGTCATCACACGTGCCCATGCTGATGGTACTGCGTCGGACGACGTGCTCCAGCGCCGTAAGTACCGTCTTTTGGCGGAAAACGTGGGTGCTGCACTGGCACAGCGCTACTACCGTGGTGTAGCTAACGGTGTGTTCATGCCATTGACGCTCTTGCCGGAGATGAAGCCATTCCTGGAGCTAAGCGAGTCTCTCGGTCGCTTCGTGCACCAACTCACACTGTCGGCCGACCCGAAGGACCGGATCACAAATGTGTTCCTAGCTGCTACTGGTGGGCTGCAGATTGACATCACCACGCCACAAGCTCGTCAGGTATTGCAGAATGCGCTGCTTAAGGGAATGCTTGAGAGTATGCGGGAGTACAAGGGACCTGCTGAGGACGAGGAACAACTCGAGATCAGTCTTCTGAACTCATCGCTGCTTGCTATGGCGAAGGGTATTGACGTACGTCAAGGCGACTTAAAGACCGACCCGGCAGCTGTTCGTCGTCACTTGAAGAACTGTCTGGCTGTTGTAGTTGAGACCAAGAACAAGGACCGTCTTCTCGTCAAGGGTAGCGTCTTCGGTGAGGACCCGCGTGTCGTGCGTGTGAACGAGTACTCAGACTTCCCAGCATTCCGTCCGAAGGGCAACATTCTGGTGTTCAACAACGAAGACGTCCCTGGTGCTATTGCCGGAATTCTGAGTGAACTGTCCGACGCGAAGATCAACATCGCCAACTTCGGTCTCGCTCGTCAGAACAACGTTGAACATCCTCTTGGTATTCTCGCGTTAGACTCAGTGCCCTCTGACGAGACGTTGAACGCTTTGAAGGACCTACCGAGCGTACGCAGCGTTCGGTTCGCCCAGGTTTAAGAGATGTGTATCACGACAATGCAGCAGTTGTAGTGGCCGATAGTACTCGAGCTAAAGCGAGAAGAAGCTCGATAAAAAAACAAGAAAGAGAAGCGTCTATCGACTGTTCTCTTCCGATCTAAAGTACTTCAGCACCATAGAGCGTGTCACTTGTGTTCAAGATCCACAACAAAAGAAATACACACCACTGACCCAGCATCGCTTCACTTGGATGTAGAAGCAGGAGCCATTGGAATCGACTGTGAGAGGCGTCTCTCTTTCTGCTCGAGAGAGGCCGCGTACTGTTGTTTTTTGTCAGTTGACGTCTGCATGAAGCGCTTCATGGTGCTGTACAGGAACGGACTCATGGACTCCTTCTCGTGCTGTTAATTGTTCAAGAGCAAGTTAGCTGGTTACCTCGCATACAGTCTCCACTTCTGCTGTAGTCGTACCTCATAACAATACATCATTATGGACATTGAAGCCGAGAAAAGGGCAACCTCGCCGTATTTGAAGCCCGAACAGACTCCACGGTCATGCAGGATCATCGCTAAGCTGTCCAGAGCGCGTGGCAGCACGTAGAGCGCCAATTCTGTTTACAGCAAGCGTGTCAGTCCTCATTCTCCTGAGAAATAGCATTTCAACATACCGGAGCGTCGGCTTTTTGGTTCGAGGAGAATAGTCGGCGAGGCTCCGAGTCCCGCTAAATAATAGATGAAGCGGTGGTCCTTACTGACAACGCGACGGTGCATGCACACGAGAGACAAATAGAGCGTCACGAAGGACGCTAGGAAGCAGTTGGACCGTGTGGCGTTCAACGTCGAGCGCGCTAGAGTGCGGAACGGTGCACGCAAGAAGCGCTTGAAGTGGATGACCACACCTGGCACAATGAAGAGGGATAGATACAGCGGGAAGGTCTTTTGGAAGGCGCGTTTGAAGCTCAGAAACGCTCCCACCGCACACGAGTCAGCGTTTGCATGCAGAAGTCTGCACGGCACGATATCTGTAGGCAACGGGAAGTCCTTCGGAATCCCTGGCTTCCGGTTGATCAATTTCTGGAGTGTAACAGCGCTAACTGGAAGGCTTCGGTTCACTTGTTGCACCAGTTCAAGTGTCTCCAGCTCCACTGGACCAGTCCGCTGGATAAATCTGAAGTACTCGGAGGGCAGCGTCGCTGGTCTCATGACGTAGGCGTACATGACCTGTGCACTTGAGAGAGCAAACAGCAGCGCGTCGCCGTACTGCCAGTCACTGCCCCAGAAGTGCCAGCGCTCTTGCCTCTTTGCCGTGTTGTAGCCACATTGCAGCGCTCTCGTAAGCGCATACAGACCTAGAGAGCGACGTCGCTTTGCATCCACAAAACCCAGAGCTAGCGCTGCAATGGCTCCAGACCCAAGGGCTGAGATCTCCTTAAGCTTTTGCTTGTCCTGAAGCTGCTTTTTGGGCAGAATTCGTCGCAGAACCACGGGCAGTAGAGCCCTGAGGCCTCTGTAGCCGCCTGTGAACCAGCCCAAGAAGAGACCAAGTCGCACGGCGTCCACGCGGAAGTTGAGGTGCTTTTCGTCAAGCAACTGCCGTAGATCCACCGCTGCCTTCCAGTCGCGTCGTTGCAGCAGCTTCAGCAGACGCAACAAGGCCGCGATGCCTGCACGTGTGTTATAGGCCAGAAGGAAGTTGCTGGTGCCTAAGCGCAGCGCCTCCAGCAGCTCCTGGCCCAGTGTTTCACCCTCATCTCCTTGCTGCTGCTCGCTCACCAGTGTCCGCACCGCCAATTGCTCGTCCACGACCGCCATCCCGTCGTCTTCCCCCGCGCTGGCGACCTCGTCGTCCGAGCGACTGAACAGACTGATGTCAGACGCTGTCACGTGTAAAGTGGAGGCCGTGGATGGCACGCGCGGCGGCAACGACATGACCCGCAGCGCTGGACGATCGCAATTTTGACTAAGGATTTGCACTTTGGATGTTTAGTGAACAGTTGGCTCAGTTGGCGGCCATTCAGTGTCGTCGATCGACCAGACTCAGTTCAACTCGGCCAAGAAGAAGCTAATGCTTCCGTCTCCGATAGTAGGAAGTCCCCACGTTGAAAATTGAAAAATTACAATTACCTACTACTGCCTGGTCCTCTTTGGAGCGATTCTACCATCTACAGTGTCTCCACGAACGTCATGAGGTCCGAGCTGTCGCCTGTGGACGCGCCAATGCCGCCCTGACCCGAGCTTCCCTGGTCGTCCCAGTCGAGCAAGTCCATGCCGCCGAAGTTCGTGGGCGATAATGCGTTGGAGAAGTCCATGAGGCCGCCCGAGGAGGTTCCGGAAGGCGTCGGCATCTGCAACAAGTCGTTGCTCATACTACCGTACAGCGAGTCGTCCAGGCCCAGAGTGAGCCCAGAACTGATCGATGGACTCTCTCCTCGCGACGTTGTGGGTTGCTGGCTTTGGTTCTGTGTGTGGCTCTGCTGAGGTTGAGCTTGAGGAGGCTGAGGAGGCTTATGTTGTACCGGATTTGGCTGCTGTGGCCTAGCAGGGGCCTGCTGTCCCATTTGCTGCTGCGTCTGCTGGCCACTCTGCTGATTGGCAGCATTCTGACTATTCTGTTGCTGGTGCTTCATTTGATTCGCCTGCTGAGCGGAGAACTGTTGCTGGGGACCTTTTTGTTGCATTTGCTGCTGTCGCATCATTTGCTGTTGCTGCATCATCTGCTGTTGGCGAGCTTGAGCCTGCATTTGTTGTTGCTGTTGCATTTGCTGAGCACGCTGCTGCATCATATACTGCTGCTGCTTTTGCTGAGGCATCTGCGTCGACGTGTTGGCCGCGTTCTGCTGCTGTGGCTGCCCAGCAGACGGAGCCTGTGCCATTGCACTACTGAAACTACCCGGGGGCATCGTGTTGGAGCCCGAGCTTGTTAAAACTCCCGAGGACGTGGGTACACCAGGGCCTGTTGTTGCAGCTTGCTGGCCATTGCCGACGTCGCTACTTGGGTAGCTGCGCTTATCAGTCTCCGTACGCAGCTTCTTCAGGTACGGGTTGACGATCTTGACGATGTACTTAAAGACCTTGTCCAGCTCCTCGATCTTCCGCGGTGGGTGCGTGGCCTTGTCTTCGTTCAAGATGTTCGCGCAGAGCTCTACATAGCTGAGAAGATATCGCAGCTTCTTCTTCTGCTCCGTCTCATCATGTCCCTTCATGTGATCCACATACTTCTTGAAGGCATTGTGCACCTTCTCGACATCTCCCTGATGTTTTGCTCGCAGCGCTGCATGTTGCTGCCAATACTCGGCCACAGAGTTCCCCAACGTGCTCGTCTCTGACTTCACTGGAGTGTTCGTGGTACTTGCAGATACCGGTTTCTGCTGCGGTTGTTGCGGTTGCTGTTGCTGTTGTTGCTGTTGCTGTTGAGCTCCCGGGTGGGAGCCAGGTGCACTCACCTGACTGTGTCCCGGATAGCTGCTAACTTGTCCCCCAGTGGCGCCTCTCTGGTTCAAATTAAGTGTGTTATAGTACGAAAAGTCGAGTCTGGAGAGCATGCCCTGATTGGGCAGTCCCTGCGCTGCCATGGCTGCGTTTATATCCGACTGTTGCGCTCTCAGTGACTTGAGCCGCGTGAATATCTTATTAATGTAGACCTCCTGTGTGGGCGACTCCTTGTACAGCGACAATTCATACCACGACACGTTCATCCAGAGCTTAATGCCTGGCACAGGGTCAGCTGATACCCGTACCATCTCGTTATAGATCTTAGCGATAAGGTTGGCGCGGTGTTCCCTCGTCAGCTGGATCCGCCAGTCGCTCACTTGGGGCTGGTTCATAACGTTGGGGTTCATCTGGGTCATGCCCATGGAGCCCATGGGCATGTTGTTCATCATCATCTGCGGCTGGCTGTACATTGCTTGGGGGTTCATACCCATGCCCATGGACTGAGTGTTGGCAGCGCCCATACCCATGGACATGGGCATCGACATGCCGCCACCCTGCATCCCCAAAGAGTGCGGGTCCATCGCCTTCTTCGCTGCTTCGCGTCTTTTTCGCAAGTGGAGCGCTTGACTTGGCTCCACTATGAACTGGACACTTGAAGCGAGAAGGATGACGATTGGTCGAAAGCCATATGCGATCGATTGGCCAAAACTTAAAAGATGTACTTTTGTCCAATCAACAGATAGAAGGCAGTTGAAGAGCAGACAGATGTTTCAAAAAGATACGTAGCATTCAACGTGTCCTATAATTGCAAAATGCAAAATGACGTTAAAAGAGCTCAGAAGTGAGTGGACGCCAGGTCGGGACGTGCGCGATTGCACACCTCGCAGTAGAAATTGGTCATGGGGTTGAAGAATGTGCAGCCACCCTGCTCGCCCGCACAGACCCACTTGCCGCGAGGAACGCCACGCTGTCCGTCCATGTCGAGCTCACAGATAGCACAGCACACGTCGTCCGGCTGGTTGATGAAAGTGCAGTTGCTACAGCGCCATCCCTGTTGCTGCTGCTGGTGCTGTGCGTCCTCGTCCTGGTGCTTCGGGTTGGGCTCGTTACAGGCACCGCACACGTCCGTAGCACCGTCGTTCGCGTACGTGCACACAGGACAAGCCCACGAAGCCTCAGCATCAAGACCCGCTGCAGCACGAGCGCTCTCTTGGTCATCGCGAAGAAGCGCGTTTTTCATATCATCGCGTGAGATACCAAAAGCCGCGCAGACCGTCTCCATCGGAATGCCCTGTTCATGTCCCTTGTCACCGTCTGAAAAGCGGGCGTCTGCGATTAGTCCAATGATCTCGTTCAGCTCCTTGGACGAAAATCCCAGCTGGAAGCTCTCGAAGCACTTGTGGACCTCTTCAGCACTTAGCCGACTGTCCTCGTCTTCATCGAACCGTCGCAGTGCCACCGCTAAGTGAAGAGCGGCCATTGTAGGCTTGGGGTCTTTACCTTTCTCTTTCTTCTTCTGGAACTGTCGCTGCTTTCTCAAAAGACTCTGTTGGAACTGTTGCAAACGAGCACGTGCGGTGAGTAAATGCCACTCGCTCTGAGCAGTGAACACTTTAGCCAACGGTGTGTCCCCCCACAAGTGACGCTCACGACGTCGTAGACGAAGCAGACACTCGAAGAACTCGTGACGTAGCGAAATGGGCACAGTAGCCAGTCCTTCCAACAGCATCTCGAGTTCGTTCGGGAAGTAATACATCTCATTGTTGAAAAAGCGCAAGCACTGGACACCCACAGTAATCGTTTTCTGACGAGGCGTCATCTCGGTAAGAGCTGTTGAGGTAGTCTTTGTAGTCCAAGATGAGAAGAACGAAGAGCTCTCGACAAGCTCACCCTCGCTTGTACGGAGCTGCACCTGACTTACTTGGAACACCGGGTGCTTCGTGTGGATCATACGACGAATCGTCTCGCCTTCAGCTAGCGACAACGTCGCCAAATACACTGGCAACTTACTCATCGTGCTTACCACGGCATCCTTCACTGCATCGGAAACCGCGTCCGGACTCGTCGTAGCCATTTCAGCAGCCTGTTGAAGAGCCTTCACTGCAATTTCGTTTGCGTTACCGCTAGATCCGTCTGCCATAATCGCCATAAAGAGCTGCTGCACGACAGTCTTCATCGCTTCCTGGTGGAGTAGCGGGGACCACTCGAGAATAAGTCCGACGTTCTTAACGCGACGTTCGCCAAGACCAACCCATCGACGTCGGAAAAAGTTCCCAGACATCAGCAACTCCTGAGGGAACGCAATCCTCGGACACTCCGAGTGGGCTTGGAACTGTGCAAACGGGTAGAACACACTTGCCTCTTCATCGTGCTGTTGCTGAGCTGCTGTCTTCATCTCTTCATCTTCAGTCGATCCTGCAGCACTTCCCGTAGGTGGCTGAGCAAGAACTGAGGCGCTCCATGGAATCGGGTGTTCGTCATCACGCGTGAACGCACTCATCTTCTGCTCTTCCTGCTCGGCTTCCTCCTCGGCTTCTTCCTCTGCTTCAGCCTCATTTTCGTGCACAACCTCAGCGGTGAGACGTAGATCTCCTTGCTGCGATCCATCCTCCGCAAGTACTTGCTGATGGTTTCCTGATGAATGGGCTAGTCGTTGTTGTACGGCACCTACACGGCTTGTCTCCTCGTCTGTCTTCAAGAAATCTTCATGATTCCGAATGAGGTTTTCAATAACATCCGACAGCTGTTTCTTTGTCGGTACAGCGGCCTCCACAGTATAGGAGATCTCTACGCGGAATATCGCGATGCACTTGCGAAGCCAGGCCTTGTCACTGTCATCCTTGCGACCAATAAACCGCCGTAGCCGAGATGATAGAGAAGCATTCTTGGACGTGGCCGAAGCAATTTCATTCAGCAAAGAACACAGAGCACGTCTACGCCACGTATTATGCAGTTCCTGGAGCGACAGCTGAACAAGTTGCATGGATTCCATACGCATTGAGTTGACGAGAAGCCAAGCTGGCACGAGCAGGAGAAACTCGTCCAGACGTTGTTGTGCTGATCCCTGCGAGCTCAATTCAACTTGAGCAAGTTTCAATTCATGACGAATACGATTCTCAACTTCAGGAATCAGGAACAGACATATCGACTGCCCAGTAGCAATGCCACGCATACGATAAGCACCCTGGGCGTAGTCGCGGAACGTCATATCCTTGCCTAACGTGACGACAGCACGTGCATTCACGCACTGTTTAATATCCATTCCGGTCGTATGCACTTGATCATAGAACGTGAATCTCTTGCTTGGGCTTAATCCGCACTGCACTAGTGGCATGGGAGCGTTATGATCACGCAATAAGATCATCTGTCGGTCATTCTCGTCCAAATACACGACTCCTTCCATTTCAGCAGGCAGCTCGCCCAACAAGAACGCAGCAACTTCCTGGTTGTCGAAACCTGTGATCAGTGCACCCGTATCAATCAGTGCATGCACTGGCGGTTGTGCGTGGGCGATATCCAGCAGCAAACTTCGAGCCGTCCACTCCACCTTACGCTCGATAGACACAATACGATTGTTTGTGAGAGCTTCGAAAATACTGCCATCACTGCGAGGCTCGTAGTAGCATTCGCCTAGATCCATCGGTAGCAGGTTCGATGGCGTTCCCGAAAAGCCAATTCGTTTCGCGAAGAGCGAATTACTGCCGAGTTCATGGCCACAAGCTGAGATCTTCAGCTTCTGGAAATTCATACACGACGGGAAAACGTGTTGTCGCACATAGTAATACACCACGCCTGCAAGCTTAGCTACGAGGAAGTGCAGCCGTGCCACTTGCGCTGAGTCACGAAGCTGGAAAAGAGGCAGTGGAAGTACACCACCAAGACGGGCGTCTTGCTTTTCCGACGAGAGCGCAGCTAGACCAATTCGGACCCACTCGCGGAACATGGCACAGGCTGGACGTTGGTCACGTGGCCCGAGCTGGCGACTAAAGTCTTGCTTTAGTTGCGACACGATGCGAACAAGATCTGATACGCGGATCCCTTCGTAGCGATAGGCAAGAATGGTCAGTCCTATCAACACGTCGGGATGCGCAAACTCGGATGAGCGACTCGGCACATCTTTTCCGATGAATGGAACTGCCAGCATCAACCGTGAATGTGCGTTGCCACCACTGTGTCCTGAAGCCGCTGCCGCTTGATGTTCTCCTCTCAGAAGACCATAGGACACTCGGTTGATCTTGGAAAGAACATGAGGCAGGATCGTACGCAACCAATCGCGCGCAAGATTAAGCAGCTTAATCGAAGACTCGGAGAGGCCGTTCTCGATATCAGTTCGAAGAGAAGCATCGGTATGAAGTTCTGGACGAGGGCACTCCAGATAATACTTAATTCGATCGACTGACACCTCCATTTTGCCCATACGGAAGAGCTTCAACAACCATTCAATAGCAATTTCCGAGAGTAGTGGTAACATTCTCGCCTCGTAAAACTCCATGTCCAAAAGCACAAGGTGCGGGAAACGCTGCAAGGTATGTGCAGCGTATCCTTCGTCCAGCACGGCATGCAATCGCGGGATTAATCCAGAAGGGTCTTTCGAGTCATTTGGCGATGCAAGAACAGCATCGATCAGGTAAATGGGAAGCTCCCACCTGTTGGCAGCAAGATCAATGGGGAACTTGTTGCCAATGGGGAAGTTGAGCTCCGACCGTAGCGGATGCAACAACACATCCACCTCGTCCATAATCAAGATACCATTTTGCCATAACCTGAGAGTCTTGTGGAGTTCATCAGCCATCTCGGAACGATCTTCGAGCACACGCCTAAGGCGTCTAATGTTCTGCGATGCTGAAGTGAGAGGCAGCTCAATGATGTCGGATGATTCATCTAGCGAGTGCAGTAGCTCCACGAGCTTGAGCATCATCGATTTGATCGACTCTGGAGAGGCACATACCACGTCACCATGACGACGAGCGCGGTCCAGCTTCGTGAACATCTGCAAAGCAGCAGCGGGGTCATCACTAATGGCGCGATCGAACTCGAACGTGAAGATACGTTTGCGCAGGACGCGATTGCTAAAGCGACTTCGCAAAACCTGGCGAGACTGTTCTAGAAGTGCCGTTGGCATGACATGCATCACCAGATGCTCTTTGTCAGCGAGAATGTAGGTTAGCAGAGGGCCAACCACTGTCGTTTTACCCGCACCCATGATCATTTGTTGCACGCGGGAGTCACCCTTCGCCAGACTTGTCATAAAGCTGTCAATCATTTGAACTTGTCGTCCGCGCAATAAGATGTCGAAGACGTATTCGAACACCAAGAAGCGTGGATCAAACCGCCACCCTGAGGTCGCTCCTTGAGTAGATCCATGAAGGTAATATCGCTTCGATAGCAGCACATCAGCCAAATCTCGAGATGCTTGCCGAGTCATCTTTAGCTTACTCGACCAGTCCTCGACACCTCGAGGGGCAACAAGACCGTTGAGGTGTTTGACAAGAGCACGAGCAGCTTGCACTGTTCGGTTGATGTGCACAATGCGGCTGCAGAGGAGGAGAACCAGCAAAATTTTCTCAACCAGATCCGCAGTCACGTCCACCACAAACGGATTTCGGGCCTTGAGATCTACTTCAAACGAGTCGGACGCCAAAAGAGACGTGAGGAAGTCGAAGGTCACACGAGGATATAAACCAACGTGACGCTGCATCACAAAGCGATCCGCGGCGGCAACCTGTTCAGCATTTCCATGGATATCGCGACGAATCTCGTTCAACTGCAGTTCTAGCGTCGCAATTCCTTCCTCTACCATCTTGCGGTCACTCGTCCTCATCTCTTCACAGAGACGAATTAGCGTTTGAAGGTTTTCAAGAGCCGAGCCGTTTGACTTGTGTTCACCAGACATCGACAAATTCATGGGAGTCACACCCGTGATGAACGCATCCTTACTGCCATTTACTGCGTTTGCGTTAATAGCAATGTCATCGCCGAGTCGCTTCAGCAAATCTTTTGCAGCCGCAGTTTGAGCGACTGGGTGGCTTGACAGATCAAACGGTAGCGTTGTCCGCACTTCAGCCTCTGGATCGCAGAAGGTGATGAATCGTTTTACATCAATTGCTTCCAACGGAAACTCGGGGTTAATGACGCAGTCCTTGCCTCCAACAAAGTGACGCTCACCACAAGATGCGTTTGACGCGTCGAAATTCGTCGAGTCGTCCGTGGGAGTAACAGGTATCTTAAACACATGCTCGGCAGAATGGTGTAACTCACTGAACTGAGCTTTAATCGGGCCAATGACACGACTCTGATGCTCTTCGGACTCGAGCTTGGATTGGAATTCCATCTCGCCGAAATCGAAAAAGTGCTTTAACATCGTCCCCACTGTCATCTTGGAGTACAGATTCGCACCACGAGAGAGCATGTGCACGCTTTCTTGGTCGCACGGAGATGAAGGCCAACCACCATCAGGATGTGCGATCACCATTGCCAGCTGTGCCATTGCAAATGATGGTGCGCATTCCTCTTCACCGTCATCCACGGTTTCACGACCCCATCTTGACAGCTTTAAGTGCAAAAAGCGTGTAAACAAATCTCCAAACGAGCGCGTGCAATCATCGCCACCCATACGAACAACAAGCTGCTGATTCAGACACTCGTACAAGAAGAGGAAGCCCAGTCCTCGGTTTGTTCCACTGATCTCGTCACCAACAACAGCGCAGTTCCACACCAATTTACCTGCTTCCTCGTCGTCGATCAAAAACTTGTTATCAATCCCGACTCCATGCTTCGGTCGGTTATACCGCACCGTCGAAAGCTTTTTACCATGAGCCGCAAGATACCCTTTGCTATACAAGCGAAGCTTCATCCACGGCTGGCCACCAACGCGTGATCGAGTTAACTTGAAGTCAATTTTCGTCGCGATATCCGGTTGGACGTGGTCACAGAACTCCTTGCGCAGCAACAAAAGAGGGGACCGCTGGTGGCAATGTGCTAGAGCTTCCTTCTCCTCCTCTAAAGTGAGCTTGCATGAAGCATCGACGTGATCACTAGTGGTGAGATAGTCGTGCAATTCCCCACTCAATTTCCACGGAGCCTTGTTGTCACTGTAGGCGATACCTAGAGACAGACGAATACGACATGCACAGGCATTCGGATGGCGATCGTCAAGTGTCTTGGCCAGCTGATCGAACACTCGCTTTTCTTCGTCGGTAAATTTCACGTCCACATTGCACCCCAGTATCAGCTCCATCGCTGCGGAATAATTGCGAGTGAGCAAGCTAGTAAGAATCAGGTATAGCGTTGAGCTCAGCGATGAAGAAAGCAGAAAGGTGTTGCTCGAATGAACAGGATATGTGTAAAATCTCGTTTCCATCGCTTGTTGCCAGCCCACCGAACCGCGATCACTAACGAGAATCGAAGAAAATGGTTCCCCGCGTATTGCTGGACGATAAAGATCGTGATTAGGACAGACAAGTTTCAGATCCGTCGTATCCGACTCGAGGACAAAGCAATCCGGAGCAATCTCGACGAGTCCTCGAAGATATTTAGACGTATCGTCCGGCATCGCAACAGTTAGGTCACTCACAAACCAGCCGTTCTGATCCATCACGTTTAGACGTAAGCGTCCAGTCTCTGGATCACTCATCGGTTGAAGCTTCAACTTCAATCTTGGTAGCTCGATGAAAGCGATTGAGGATAATCCAGAAGGCGTGGTCGTCTCATCCTTGCTGGTACACCACACTAGAACGTGTGACAGATCCTCCACACGAGTAAGCAGTTCGCACAATGTAAGAACCTCATCACTTTCACGTGCCGAGCACGCCTCGAGCACGCTCAGGAGATATAACGTCTCCCCAACGGTTTCTTCAACAACTTCCAGCGCATCATCATCGTGCTCCCCACCTTTCGACTCCTCATCTATTTCCATTGGCGTAGGTAACTCGTCTACCGATTCCCCTGATCCAGATACAGCAACACTTTCAACACCTTCTGCTCGTTGGATCTCCGCACGATTAGCGGGATCCGATAACCACGCTGTAGCTAGCTCCAGCTCGTTGCCAAATAGACCCAATGCATACTCAACTGCACTTCGTGATGGTGAGCCCTCCAAGCTCATAAGCAGTCCAATGTTTTGCTCGTGCTGCTCCTCCGGGGTGAGAGCAACCTCGCCAGACGCAGCTGCTTCTTCAGCGGCAAGAATTTTCATCTGATTGTTCTCATCGAGCAGCCATTGAGCTGCCAAGCCGACATTATTATGATTCTCGCGTAAGGCAAGACCACACCCAGCGTACGAGAAACCCATAGCCATAAGTTGGACCACGTCATCATCACTAATCTCAATAGACTCTGGCGATGGAAATGATGGAGTGTGAGAGGCTTCCGTCGTTGATCTCCCAGGTTCTCGAATTGGCGCTGGTGGAGGTTGCATCTGGCTACTAGCTGCAGATCGCTCTTTCTCCTGACTGTCACGGTAGATACGAGAAAATGAAGTCATGATAGACTTCCGACTGATAAACGCCTGCCCATTCTTGTTCATCTCAACTTCCACTCGATATCGGAACCACTGTGACTTTGAATCCACAGGCTCGCCTCGAAGTCGTCCATCCTCACCCATCCAAAAGCGGAAACTCTCCAGCAAACAGCTCGGAACAACACCCTGCAAAAGGCGAGAAAGAACGAACTGCTCCGTGCCATGGAGTAGATGATTCTTGCGTAATATAATGAGAGATCCTCCCAGCATTTGCCGCTCAGTGGGCTCACCGCTAGCACGCAACAGCGCTGGATCGACTGGACCTTGATCAGGAGAAATGTTCAAAGCGAAGCTGTGAAGACTCAGGCGAGAATTTGACGTAAAGATAAGCTTGCGATAGAGTCTGCGTCCGTGTGATACCAGTGCGTAGATGTGCATCACCTGCATGGTTCGGTACGCCACAATTTCCTTAAAAGTCGCGATCTTCTCCTTGTCTTTATCATCCGAGCCTCGATCAAGTCCAATCAACCGTACGTGAGCAGCGCTGTCTGGCAGCGGGTCACTGGGAAGAAACAATGTGTAAGGCAACTTCTTGTCATCAGGTACTGGAGGGTACATGAGACGTAGCGCGTTGCCCACCAGATCCACAAGCCACTGTTCGCCGGTATGAGCGTGTTCCTCCTCCGAGTAAATATCAAACGGACGCGAATAAACCTTGCCAAGATAGCGAAATCCGTCATCACCAGGTTGCTTGGGCTTTTCTTCTTGCTTTCCTCGTGATGGCTGTGGTGGAGCACGTGCAACCCGAGGAGTGCCACATACATCGCATGCAGCGTTAGGATTGTCACCGTTGAAGTTTGCGCATGTGCAGGCTGGACACTCCCAGTACATTTTAAGCTCTTGAGAGTTATCACTTGGGTCGTCTGCGTTACCTGCAGCCCCAGGCTCATACACGACAGGAGCACCCACACCCTGGTCTACTTCGTCTGTTGGGTCATCCCATTCGACAAGTTGAAAATCCGTGCCAACAATATTGACCCACAGGCGATGCTCTTGGCGTGCGACAAGACCGCAATGAAGCGATTTGTTTCCAAAAATGGCCATGAAGTCGGCATATTGGGTCATCGAGTCCGGAACAGGTTTCAACTCATCGTTTCTCCACAGAATTTCTCCGGTCTGAGCATCAAGTTTTAGTTCTTGTTGACGACAGCTATATTTTCCTGCACCCCCGACGCCAGATTCCTCGATCCATTCCCACGTGTCGGTTTGTTCGTCTGAGCGGAGAGCAATTCGGACAATACCACCCAGAACTTTGTTTCGGTTGGCTTTTGGCAAACCTGCCAGCCAATCCACGATGGAGCGACGATGCAACTGCATAATCTCAAAAATCTCTGCTTCAAGGACATCACCAGGTGGTAGTTGCAGCTCTTTTCCTTCGCTGTTCCGAAGCGCGACAATACTTGGCGCTTGAATTGTCTGCATGCCAATCTTCAAGTACAGAGGTCGCCCCTTCAAATATTTGTCAAGGGATTTCTTGCTGACATTTCCTGTGTCGATACCTTGGGCTTGAAGCCAACGAAGGAGTCGCTCTTCTCCTGATAGTCCTCCGTTCTCATCATCACTGTCGGTGGATAGCTTCATCCCGAAACAATGCCAATTGTGAACATACGCAATAGAACCTATCATCTCGGAGATTTTCTGGGCGTCGTATTCCGAAGGCCGCAAGCTCACATGAAGAAGTACCAGGTAGGAGTGAATAACGCACGCAGTCTGGAGGTTGTTTGCGTCTTCGGCTTCCTTCCTCCACTTGTTAAGCGTTGCATGTGCAAAACCAAACCCGTACTTCATCAATTGATACCGGTATTCCTCCAGTTTTTCAACACGAGCCCGGTCATCACCAGCAATGCATCGGTCGAGCGCGAATGTCATGTAGCGCAAAATATCCACTCCCAACTTAATCATAAAAAGAATAAAGCGAGCGTCAGCCGAATGGACTGACGCCTCACCCAGCTCCTTCACAGCATCCAGCATCTTCAACAACGGGACCACAATCGCCTCTGGGGCGTGAATAAGTTCGTTCAGCAGTAGCCCATTCATCGTGCCCAAATGGTCTTCACACTTTTGGTGGTGAACTCGAGCATCAAACGTCCGTTGGATGGCTTCCTCATGCATTACGAGATTTGATTTTCGTAGCGGAATGTGGGAAATCTCTTCAGCTTTTTCATCAGAAACCCAGTCTCCACCTTCGAACAAAACGGCACGAAACAGCTGTTGCAACATCGGATTGAACAGATACGTCACGCGGTCTCGCGACGAAAAGAATGACACTACGAGTGGAATCCGTGTGTACGGTACCGTCAAGTAGCTCATGAGGCATTCCGATTCTTCCGCAGATAGCGTCCCAGTGTACGTGGGTAGATCAGTCAGATGCATGATATCATCTTCCGTGATGACAGTAGGAAGACCTTCTGCGGACGCATTGCTCGAGCTTTTAACAAGAAGAGCACTTAAATTCGCAGGACTTGTAATAACCGGCCCCTCGCCAAAGTAAACCTTTCTCTCCATAAACCCTTTCACCTCAACATCAGCGATATCTTGGTCACTTCCACGGAAGTTAACTACCTCCCACTTTAGCGTAGCATGAAGAATTCGATTCAGTCCTCGCATACCGAAAAAGTTTCGTCGATGAGTTGCCGATGAGTCATCAAACGAAAGCTGCCACATCTGCCAGTGCTGGTGCGCAGTACGACGCCTCATCAGCTCGACCTCCTTTGTCTCCATCGTAGCTAGAAACTTCACCACCATGACTAAGTCGCGAGTCAACCCCACTTCTGGGTGATCATCTGCCATGGGCGTGGTATCGCTACAGAACCACTCCATCAACGCTTCCATTTCGGTTGGTGGAGTTTGGTTGTTAGGATCGATTAACGGGTAGTGATACCGCTCCATAAGTTGACGGAAAAACAAGAGCGTCGTTGAATACTTCTTCACTTCAATCTTGTCCTCAGGCATGTGGAAATCGAAAAGTTGTCGCTTGCCCTTTGCGTCGTGGATGTGGAAATAAGCGAGCACTTGGCCTCGGACCACACAAAAGTTTGGCCGTGCAAACTCCATCGCCGAGGTCAATTTCTGGATCGAGAAATTAGCTTTGCAAAACGTGTGCGCTAGTACATATCCACCTTCTTCTTCCATCATCAGCGATATTTCGAGAGGTTTGTCTGCTGCCGGGGTGCGAACTACAGCATCGTAGATGGATAACACACACAAGGCCGCAAGCGCGCGCTCCGAGTCAAACTGGCGACTCGGCTGCTCCACCGATTGCCATACTGATCCAAGAATCATCAGCAAGGAATGCAAGTGATTCAGACACCGAAGCTGCATGTCCTTCGTGACAGGTTGACGCCACATGCAGGTGGGTGACGCTGTGCCGTCTGAACTCACAGGCTCCGGCACAGGTAACACTTCCACCAGGACACTTGTAATAAGCTGGATAACTTCGAGATGCAAAGACATCCTAGAAGATGACGAACCCTCTGCAGCTCGCTTCAGCAAAGACTCACACAAAGCCTCGCACCTGACAAACGCCGCGACCGCTAGAGCGATAGAAGTGACGCGCTCAGGTACATCTAGGAAATTGTTGAGAGCAGGAATTTCGAGCTCCGACGCATTTCCCGCATATTCGCCCTCGTTTCCTGGCAGCTGAAGCAGTTCCGCGTTAGCGTGAGGCGTAAAAGAAAGCGTTTCACCCAGTGCAGAAGTGCCACGCTTGCTCTTGCCTTCAGAGCTAGCAGTCACCCCTACCGACTCTATGAGTTCTTCTGTCTGGCGCATCAGCTTGTTCACGTGGCTAAGACCATTAGCTTGGATGTTCTTACGTGCATGGTGTATCAGCGTTTTCCGACCAATTTGCTTGACACCCATAGCAATGCACTTGGTCTCAGACAGTGACAGAGTTGATTTTGGTAACGCGAAGTCTTCGCTTGTCCAGGGGAAAAACTCGCCTGTTGGGTCCGACATCACCAATTCTTTTCCCATAGGCGTCAAGATATCCCCATCGGATCCTCGCAAAACGAGTTGAGGCACTTTCGTGACACTAAACGTCTGGATGAGTTGCTTCCGAGCTTCCATTTCGGGAAAAGGGACCATACGCCACGTGTGGTCTGGCAAACTCTCCACAAAAGCTGTGTAATCAGCTTGTTCCTGGTCAACGGAGACCACTATTACGATGAGCTTCTTTCCTGCTGCATGTAGACTCTCGCTTAACACTGTGAGCAGTTTAGTCAGCTTACGGCAGGCAGCGGGACTTGGACAGTGCGAAATAAATACCAACAACAGCTTCTGGATCGATATCTGTCACTGTGTGAGTGCCTTGCAGCGAATCCTGCAGCGAGATGGTGGACAGTGTTCGCAGTGCATTGTCCAGCGTGCCCTCCGTGATCGCTTTGCGGGGTTTTGAGCGATCTCCAAATCCTTGACGACTTGCTGGAACAGACGGTAGCGCAGCTTGTACAGAATGGCATATTCCACCTCGTCGTTCGTGAAGGCTCGGCTACGCAGACACAAATATCGCACTGCTTCGACCACGCTCTTGCAGAAGCCCAGTTGACTGCGTTGCGCTGTGTGCACGCCGCCAAAAGCTGCGGTCGTCCAATCAGTGGGTGCTTGTGTCTCAGTCGTCTCGCTCGCCAACGGCAACAACTTGTCGCCCGCGAGCCAGGGTAATAGTACATCATAGATGGTCTCCACTCGATGGTACTCAGATGGCGGTTTGCGCACCCAGAGCGAGAATAAAAGCGTCCAGAAAGCCATATCCAGGAAGCGAGTAGCTGGGATAGCACTGATCTGAATGCAAGATTGCACGCGGATCTTGTCGGCGCCTCCCTCCACCTTGCACGGGTGGTACATCTCCGCTCCTGGGCCTTTGTTGCACACTGTGAACGAATATTCTGTATCCTTCGTCTTCTCCACTACGTAAATGATTGAGTGACTGTTAACGTTGCCTACATAGCCACCGGGCACCAGTACGGGCTGCCCCACTTCGAGCATTGCTAGCTCGGCCTTCCATTCGGCCAAAAACGCCTGGAATTGCGAGGCGTCCTCCACCTTAGCCCCCATCTCAGCCCACTGACCGCAGAATGCCAACTGAGGTAGCAGCGTCGTGTGCAACACTCGTTCCTGTTCAACTGTAAGCGAAAAATTCACGGGGTCTGCCCCATTGTGGACTTGCTGTTGCGGTTGAAGCAGCCGTGTCAAGCCGCTTAGTGCGCCTACAAGCGCCTGTGGATCCCCTCCGGCCTCGTACGGCGTGCCTCGCAGGTACGGGTCACCGAACATGCCCAGGAAGGCCGCGGAGCTCCATACCGCCATCGCTACGTATCTTGCTCAACCCAAGAAGAAGAATGCGGAATAAAAGATCGCGACTGGAAGAAATTGAACCAAAACGGGAACATGATTGATAAACAAATTGCTGGCAAGTTGAAGCGGATTGGGTAATAATCGAAGCCGATCTTTTAGGGCGTGTTCGCGTTGTGCCTGGAGATGGAGATGGTCCCATCTCACTAAATACGTCTAACAATTGATTGGCCAAAAACCATTTGTTACAACTGCACAACTGGAGATTAGAGGTGATATCCTTCTCGACCTATTGGAGGTGGAGACAGGAGACGGAGGTAGAGACGAGAGGCTCACAATTTGTTATGGAGGAGGACATTGAAAACGTTTTGCTAGCTGTGTGTGCTGCAGTAGGACAAGCGGCTGTACTGCTTATAACTGCTGTACGTATAATGTAGCGCTAGACTCATACACAGTACCTTTGACTTGCACTGGGTAGCATCAACCTCGAGGCCACCAATACGGTGAGTCTCTGCAGCTAGGTAATCCCACGCAGCACTCAACTGCTTCGAGTTCTTAGTGCCATCAAACAACCCCTTCAGGCTATCGAATCGCAATCTCAGCAGCACCTCAGCCGCATTTACTGTCCACGCAAATGGGTGCTTTGTCTCGTTCCTGCCTTGATTCCTGCGGCGTGGTGCGCTCTGACCACTGCTGGTACGAGTGTGTACCGGTATGATAGCTGCGTCGTCCTCTGGTTGAGTGGCGTCTTCAGACCTTAACTGCATCATTCTTTGTTCTGCAGGAGAGCGTGAAGATGAGGATGTGACTTCTCGATTCTAGGTTGTGAGTGCCGTGTCCACACATGGTATCGGCACCTGATTGGTTTAAAGTGCACCTGGAGAAGGAACGTAGCGACACAACTGGAGGTGGAGATCGTAGGACACCACAATCATCTCCATCTCCAGGCACAACGCGAACAGGCCCTTAAAGATATCAATGTGTGTCCTGTACAAAGTGACACATTATTAATAATTGAGTTTAATGTCGGTGTATTGCAACGGAATTGTGTTGTCCACACCAGATTTTAGTTTCGGTATACCTTGTTGGTGGCGAGCTCTCTCACTCCGTATTTGGAAGAGCAAGCAGCAAACAGTCAATAAATACCCCCCTCTCCTCGTTTTTTTTTTCAGATCGAGCTGATGGTTGCATAAGCTCTCATTAATGTATTTGTTCAATTGACCACCAGCGATAATGGAAATACTTTATTAAATTTTGGGACAGATTCGCATATTCGGAGGACAACACCCCTTCCCCCCTACGGATATGAGAGCCAAAAAAGTAAGTACCCCAAAAGATAAGCTTACTGCTAATCAAAGTCGATTTTCCGCCTATTGGGCGGTATCACTCATGGTGCGGCCACCAATATCTTGCCTTTTTTTTCTACTGGGGATTAGCAAGTTCTGTTTAGATATTGTGTGTGCTCTACTACCTTCCGGTGCTTTCGACACGCGTCGCCAACAGAGTAATTTATTCCGATGCATAGGTTTCTGTTGACCTACAGCACTTGCTCACTTAACGGAACTTGGCCGCCAGCGACAGCGTTGTAGCAGTTATTTCACGAGGAGAACGGGTCCCACGAGAATATTCATCTTCGACAACGAGACCAGATGAAGTACGTTCGAGACAAGCACCATTTCCTACAGCTTCAGATCGGCTTAAACTATATTTTGTATTGCTAAGGTTGACGCACTAACTATGCTAATTTTAGGGCGATCTGGAGCTCGTGAGTCGCCGCAAGTATTACCATATCCACTCACTTGTATGCCACCACAACATTTCTAAGGCCAAGCTTCTCCTGCCCGTGCAGTTACTATCGGTAATACTCCGTCTAGGGTGCCGATGGTGATGGAGTCCAGCGACCCAAACAGCAGCACAGCATCGACACCAGCTCTTTGTTCAGTGAACCGAGTATGTACGGCTGGTCAACACGACACATCTGACGAGACGCTTGAGGTATCTTTTTTTGCCGTGAATGCAGCGATATTTTACACAAGATCTGGGCAGGCTTAGCTGCAAGGTCGAAGGCGAAGCCGTAAAGCACGATGGCACATAGTTAGTCGAGGATCCGACGGAGCTATTATGGCCGAAGGTCATACCGTTCAGCTATAATCGCCACGTAGTGAGCAGCACAAAGACCAATCAAGCTTGAAATCAATGGATTGCTTAGGTGCGTGATGAAACAGCTAAGTTGATGATCAATGATTATGAATTGGCTATTTCGATGGCTCTAGATCACGAGGAGATCCTGACTGCTGGTAGTACGTCAGAGATGTCACATCGTGGGGTGGTTGAGCAACAGAAAGAAGTGTAGCGCGCAGCATTTTAGCCCGACGCAGTAGAGCGGCGAATGTAGACGAATCACGTCACAAGAGGTAGAACTGATCAACCCGAACTCGTGACGTACTAAGCTCTCGACAATAGTACAGCGCTAGGTTGCCTAAGCTGGCTGCCCTGTAAGTGGAGCGACAGTTCCCGATCCTCACTCGGTCGGCCCGTATGTGCGAATACTCCACTTACAGGCAACGCAGCTCAAAAGCAGCAGTGGGAAGCGCACGAACAGCCTATTGACAACAGATTGAACGCTAATTGATAGAAAGGCGACTTTAGGGACGTCTCTATCCGATATCTCACTGCCACTCGTAAATGATGTTATAGATCCACTTGAGCGACTTAAAAAGGCAGAAGCATAGATCATCAAGATTAATTTGTTTTATTTGAGCGCTGAAACACTCGCGTAACCCCTTAGTTCCCGCATGTTGGACCGCTCAACATAACGGGTGTATCTTTTTTTTTGGGCATCTATGTTATGTTGGAGGACCATCATAAGCGAAAGTTATACTTGCTTTTTGTATTGGAACAGATGTATTGAGATCGGCATACTGAAGTCAAGGTAGTATTATGGGTTCAAAACGAGCCATTGCACAGGGCTCGGGGTTTTGGATCAGGATAGTGTGACAAAGTAAAAGCACGCCATTCCCGTTTGAACTGGTGGCCGCCAGCCCAAATCTCTCCTCATTTTTCAATTTCGCAGTTTGCACGTAAGACCAAAAGCGATGGTCGCTACAGCAGGTAAAGGGCCACCCGGGCGGACACCACGGACCACGGAACCAGGAGACACTGCAGGAGAGACAAAGGAACGACACGCGCAGCTGCTGACCAAGCTCAGCTATCGACACCGCCGCCATCTTTTTCGGGACAACGCAGCGCTGAGCCGATTTGTGGCTCTTGCAGAGCGAAACGTGGTGGAACCACGTCATCGTGACGGTACTGCATACTTTGATGAAAGCGGTAGTGCTGACTCTGTTGTGATTTTAGGTGCTCGTGATGACCGTGATCGTGCTGGCGGTAGTGGTGGAGACACAGCTGGCGCTCAGGAGAACGCAGAACCCGCTGAAAGTGCCTTTTCGAATGCTGATCGTGTTTCTTCCGTTGCGGAGGCTAAGCAACCCGCTGCCGCAAAGCCGCAGAAGAAACGAGCTGCTAAATACCGCGCTAAACTAACGACACCAGCCATGGAAGTCCGAAAGGCGACGAGAGTGTACAAGCCATCAAACCCTGGGAAGCCTAGCCAGGAAGCCGAAGCCAAGGACGCAGAGGACGTTGAGGTTGACGCGACGGACGTCGCTGCTGAGGCAATGGCGATACCGTCGTCATCCGCAGCACCTACCGAGGCGCATGTGCCACTAGAACCAGCGGTGGTCGAAATAATGGCCGACTTGATGTCCAATTTGGAGAGCGAGGTCGCGGCTCGCGTGGACAACGATGCGGACACCCCTGCGCGTACTTTTTGGACGGAGGTCAACAAAAGAGCAGATGACGCCGAGGCCGCCAGCTCTTGGCACGAGCCGTCGACCCCCCCCCAAGCCTCGGAAGTCAAGTCAATCGAAGAAACGTCGACGTCCTGTTTTACAAGACGACAACCTGGTCAGTGGTGATGACGAGGACGCAGTGGGCACTACAGGGGCCTCTCCGGGTCTGTCCACGGGTGATGGGGAGGGAGAAGTGGAACGTACATTTGGAAGCCCGACGTGTATGGTGAGTGGAGACCCGAACCTAATGGAGATTGGTGCTGAGCAATGCACTAGGTTGAACTCTGACGAGGAGACGGGATTCGATGAGGAGCCCGAAGAAGAAGACGATGATAGCGGGTGGAGTGAAGACTGGAGCCTCGGCGAGCTCACGGATGAAGACGAGGTCGGTGACCCCAACGCGACGACGCTTCTAGACTCGCTTTGTTTGTCTGCTGCTCGCAACAAGAAGGTTCTCAAGAACATGCGAAAGACTGGGTGGGAATGCCTACGGTGCGTTCATGTTGATGCAGTCCAACATAATGAGATCGAGTTTTAACTTGATCCAACATAAGCTCCAACATATACTTATCATCCTTCATCACTCTTGCTCTTGCAGATCCTGACAAGCTTGGCCCCGACCCTACGTATGCTGACCTCTACGACGGACCGTTTGGACCCAGCGAGAGTGTGATGGCTTTTGCGGAAGATCCGCTTGCACTGTTGTTCTACTTTTTGCCACCGAGACTGTGGTTGCAGATCACGTTGGAATCGAACAACTATCAGTCGCAGACACTTGTGCATCGGGCCCGAGGGATCCGAGACCAGCAGCGCACCAGTGGAGGGGAGGTTGAAGAGTTGAGTGCCATCCGGCGACGGTTGTCAAGCGTCCCTAAGATTGAACCGTGGGAAATTCTTCGCGTCATGGCGTTGCTGATCGCGCGGATGTTGACTCCGATCAGGAAAGGAATCGCCGCACACTAGGGGCTAAAGAAGGTGGGTGCATTTCCGTCCAACAGGTTCGGTCAGCTCATGTCGAAGAACAGATTCTTCCATATAATGGGCTACCTGCACTTCAGCAACAACAAGTCGCCTCAGGCGAAGCTCGACCGCGCATGGAAGATACGACCGGTAGTCGACGGGCTACAGAGGACTTTTGCTCGAGGTTACCGCACCCCTCCTGTC